CGAAAGAATCATAGAATTTGCATTGGGAATTGTTTAAAGAAGCCTGCTTTAGCAAGTAGTCTAAAGGTCTTATTAACCCAGGCTGCACAGTAAAGTTTTTTTAGTCTTGAAATCAACTCACCCGTGTACTAACCATTGTGACATTCCTGGTTGCGCACTTTTATTACAACCCGCTGCTCCCCGGATGAGTGCATCTTAGGATTTGCCAGAAATTTGAGCTTTGGGCTGTCAACAGTTGACAAATCAGAGATCACGTAACTTTCAAACCATTAAAAATTCACATTTTAAAAACAGTGTAATCGCTAAGTAACATAGTTTAAACAACAGAGGAAACCAGATGAACTTTACGATCACAATGGTAATTAAACAAAAATCATGTTAAATATACACTAAGTTGTGAAAATTAATCATTGTCTCTGCATAACTGACACTATACGCGTTATCTTGGCAAAATGTATTTCAGTGGCCTTAAACCTGTTATAAGTCATTACCATGAAGCATTTTAAATACCATTTTGATTTTGGATATAATCCTTGGAAGGATTCATGACTTTTTAGTGAGTGGGATTTTTTTTTTACGAGTAAAACTCTCGAGGCTGCAGTGGTATTTGTGATGTGAAAACTGCAGGACCAATCGGTTCAATTGGAAAGATGGACCCTTGTTTATCCCACGAGAACCTGAAGTTGTCTGTCCGTCATACAGAGAGAGGTTCAAATAAGTCACGTGGGCATCTCCTCAACGATATTAGCTTTTAGTGGTGCAGTGGAAGAAATGACTGTGCATTATTACTGGAGTACAATTGCTTGCTTATGCCACTGCTCATGGAAGGGCCTGCACGAGAGGTAGCTCCTGGAGTTGGTCCTCAGCAGGGTATTTGAACGCATTGGTGGTACATCAGTGCGCGGTATAAAAAAAAGGCCATTTTTGCGAGATAATTATATATTTTCCCACGATTCGCAACCCCAGTTAGAATATCTTGCGGGCTACGTCAAAATCGGCTCTCATAATGTCCAAGCAGCCCGAAGACGAATGTTAGGAGCAGCTTAACACAAAGTTTCACAGTCTGTTGGCGTATAGCACCCAACCTGATAACGATTGGCTCCGTGTTCAAAAGGCAAATTTGACTCGTGGCCTCGGCTTGGTCGGACGGTTCCTCGATTAATTTCTGGCATTTCTTGGCGGACGGTGGCATCAAAAGATAGACTCATGTCGCACGTTCGAATGGGAAAACAGCTGCTGAATCGAAGGCAACTTCTGACAGAGAGTCTGTATCTCACTCAAGGGCAACGGTGACATCATCAGACTTTGATGAGGACGGTGTCTTATTCTGCACCAGTGTACCGCCAATACGTCCATTTGACCTCTTCCATTCTGGCCTGATGTTTAATGAAGGACCCGCCATTTTACCCCACCGCACGCGACCTGTTGATCGACTAACTGGTGAGCAGGCAATTTCAGGGCTGCACCTTTGCCTTTTTTAATTACAGTAAATACAATTAAGTAATTATACAGATGGATTTAAAACAAATCCACCTTTTCAAATGCGAGCACTAGTATTGTATAGACATTAGCAGACTATGCACATGAAGTAAAAGAGCTTCTTGGTACCATTAAGTTATTGCCCAAAGCTGTGACAGCATAGATGAGGTAAGCATCTTGGCTCCAATTAATAAGTAGCATTCACGAAATAAAAGTGGCCAGCAAGACAGGTAGTCGAAATTTAAATCAATGCTTATATAAGCACAAAGTCTTTGGCACGCCCAGCTTAAAAGCTTTCCTTATTTAGGTCCAGCTTGGTGACTGCACCTGGCAGACTTAATTTGATATGTCATTGTTCTGCCATCTTAGTCGTTCTATATATGTGCACGTACCACTGTTGTGAGTAGGCTTGTTGATCCACATTTGAAATGAGAGATTAAAACAAAATAACCTACGCATATCGAATAAACGTATTTTGCGTAGAATGGTCAACCATTCTGTTTTCCTAAATTCGTTTATTTAATGCAAACTTAACAGTACTGCTTACTGTGTGCGTTATAAGACACTGCCCCTTGAACGTAAAACGTTTGATCTTGAGGCAGCGCTTCGATGTAGATACGTGAGCAATCATAAAAGTATCCGTCAACTCGAGAAATCTCTAACATGTCAGTTAAGCATCATCGGCCATGCTCCATATACTGCTGGATAAAGGCTTCCTCAAGCCTCCCACCTTCCCCCACAATCCTGCCACGTGATTTCTGCTAATAATGTGTTACGTCCAAAACTATTCATCCATTAAGCATGCCATGTTTTATTTTTAGTGGCAGTTGGTGATGTCACAGCGAATCGTACGAGGCAGGGCACTCGATTTCAGAATTCGTTACTTGAAGCTCAAAGCAGTTCATGCAAAACGTCGTCTGTAGATATTGAATTCAGTCGTGCAAAGTCTTAAGCCACTGTTGAGGAGGAGCTTTATTTGTGAATAACACATTGGCCACGTGTATATAATAATATCTAAAATCGTGACAATCTCGTTGCGCGGTGGAGGGTTAATGACAATAAATTTTGCATAAAACTCCCCACGTGGCCAAACACGAAAAAGAAACGTGAATAATTTTTCAACATAAAAATTTTCGTTATAAAATTGGTTCTTTTTTTTGTTTCAAACTGCTGCAATACCGATGTGTATAGTTAACATAGTTATCAAACATGCAGCCATGTGCCTACGAAGATCGAGGCTGCCTACGATTGATACGTGTCTGCTGTTGTCCCTGCTTTGTCTTTTATCTGAGGCTTCAAATTTACCCAGATTAACAAACTACGTCCTAAGCTGATTGGGAATACTTAAAGGCAACCAATCGGAGGAAGCAAATTGAAAACATAGCCCCCTTGCTATGCTACAGGCTTTTGTTGGAGAGGGAAAAAAAAAGAAAAGAGCTTTTCTGATTGCATTCGCCACTCCTTTCCTCACTACCCCACCAAAAGATGTGGCTGGCAGTCCTAAGATCACATATTCGTTTCAAAGAGTGGTGTAATAAGCCACCTTTGCTTTGTGTGACAGCGCCGTATTATACACACACGGTTGGGATTTACTCAAGTGGGCATCTTTACGACACGGCGGGATTCGTGCAGCGAGGATCTCGCGGAGGCTCTGACCCTCATGGTAATGAGAAGAGCACACTTTGATGCTGACCGTGGCCCATCTCCCGAGAACCCCCGGCGCTTCGCCTCCGACTAGAAGCAGGTGAACTGCGTGTGTGTAGTTTGTGCTAGCAGTCCCCCCCCCCACACCCCCTTCTGTCACCGCCATCGTTGTTTAACAGCGCTGCGAACTTTGAATTTCGATACTCAAGACTCACGATGCGTGCGTCGAATCGCGCGTTCGGTACATAATTGGTGTTATGTGTTTTGTGACCGTCATGTACAAATTACATGCTGGCCTTGCGTTTTAATTTTGGCCATTGGAGTGAACAGAAAGGATGTGCAGATGAAACGAAATCACGAATTTGTGGTGTGTGTGAGAATAACGGAAGCGATTCCTGAATGGAATCGTCGCTCGGTAGGAGGTGGTGGGGGTATTGAACCGTTACACCCCTGGTCTCTTGGGGTAGATCCAAGATAATACTTTATCTGCTTTTGTGGAAATGTGTGTGTGTGTTCAAGGTACTTTCATTATCAGGACTGTGTTAATGACACCGAAGGAGATTTAGAATTTTGGAAATATATAGCATACTCGTACCTCTACCGTATGTATGTATATGTACCCTGTATTAACCACAAAAGCGTACATGTAACATATAAGGTGTCTTCTTTCCTCCTTTCCACATTTGTTGCAATACAATCCGTCCAGATGTCACTGACATATTAATAATCGCATTTTCTCAGCGGGGCAGCCGAATGCATTGTGTAACCCTTGTAGGTGCTGGAATTGTTATGTTGTACGTTGCCTAGATGAAAATTAGGTGTCAGCCATCGCTGCTTTCGGTTGTGTTTCACTTGTAAGGCTGTCCCTGGAGTGAGAGAACATGGAAGTGTTTTTTTTGTTGTTGCAAATTTTTACGCTTGCTTTTTACAAAAACGATGTGCTCTGCGTGGTAATAAGCTTATAATAATGCTCCTCGCAAGAAAAAGGTTAGATGTACCGTATTGATTATGGAGCCGTAAAATTAAACGCTCAAAATGTTCTAATGTTGAAAAGGTTATCGGCAACAGGCAATGCACAATAGCTGTATGTCATCTATAGCAAAGGGCCCAGTTGCAATCTACGGCCTCTTGTGATGGACAACAGCTGATGGAAGCAATATTCATGTCACTTGAGAGCATATTCATGTCACTGGAGAGTATTTTTATTTGTTTAACCTTGCGATCTGATAAACGAATTCCCATGTTGTGGCTAATTATGGACCGTGGACACGAATACATATTGTTCCCCCCCCTCTCTTCACCGTGTCGTTTGGCAATGTAGAAGACAGTGGCTTAATTGTTATTAAAATATCTCTGATAATGAAAATGTTTATGCCCCGAGCATGAGGATTTGCTTTCGACTACGAAAATAAAGTGTCAGATGCAAAGTATGGGATCTTATGGCTCGTTTCAATGTATCAAAATACCTTTCAGAATCTTGGGAAAAGAGTAAAGCACAATATTTCCATTCTTTTCCCATAAATATTCTTGTGGCTGGCCAGCGTGGAAGAGTAGGCCAATATCTTCTCGGGGTGGGGGCTCTTCTCGTGGAGGCCTTTCCACCGGCAGTCATGGAGGCTAGTAATTTCAGGGCTGCACCATTATCTAAATATTACGGGGGATGTTGGTATGCCTAAAGCGATGAAGCCCGCGTCCTATTTTGCAGCACTAAGCCTCGTGTTGTTCTCGACTTAAAATGCGACGAATGTTGTCACCCCCAAACCCACCTTGCCCGCGTCGCCACAGGTGTACCCGTGCCTGAGCTTCCCGAGCCCCGTGCCCTCGTGGGTGGGAGAGAGCGACGGTATCAGCCTGCACTGCGGGGCGAGGGCGGCGCCATGGACGGCAGCGGCAAGGAGGGAGGCCTCAGTGTCACGCTCACGATCCGCCTGCTCATGCATGGCAAGGTGCGGAGCGGACGATTGGCACGGGGGGGGGGGGCAGCCACTGGGGGCATGGGGAGGGAATGGGGAGCAGGGGGGGGGCAGCAAAGCTTGCGCAGTGTGACATTCACAGCTGGTCACGCATGATGGCTCATCATGTCCCTGGAAATCGATCAACAGGTCTACTAGTTTTTAGAAGAATTTTTTTATTTATTTTGTTTACCTGGTTTCTGCTAACACTTTTATTTCCTTAATTTGTTGTTGTTCTGTTAATGTATATATGAAACTGATAAAGGTGGTTATTAAAAAAATTTGGGAATTGTTATGTGGAGTAATTAAGACATGTATTTTGTGTTTTATCTAGCAGAACAAAAATAACCTTTCAGTATAATTTCAGTAACATTGATTTCATCTGACGTGAGCTGCATTTTTAATTATCTCAAAAGGTTTTCCAACTTTTTGAAAGACAATTCTTTGCTCTTTGTGAGCTTCGTTGCTTTGAGAAGCTGAATAGATATTTAATAGACTCTAGTTCACCAATTGTGTCATTATTCACGTAATCTTTACCCATAATGTACATTTTTATTGCTTAGTGACGCTGTGTGTTCTTGTCTTTGTAGGAGGTTGGAAGCATCATTGGTAAGGTAAGTGATGGTTTCTAATGCTGGCGAATACAGTTGAACACTGCACTCCGGAAACTTCATTTGACGTAAATAATTAACATTTGTAATGTTCACATTGGTGCCATGTAAGGTCCTTGCATGTTTATTTTTTGTAGAAAGGGGAGACGGTGAAAAAAATGCGCGAGGAGGTACGGTCGGTATGGAAACTTTTTCTTATGCATTTTTTGACATTTGTACCCATATACAATAACTTCCATTTGCACCACTCACTTCTTCATAAAAGGGAGGACACTCTGGTTATTAATAGTGAACTGACCTACCCCAAACTCTCGCACGCAGAAGCCAATGCCTGTGTCGTCTCTCCAGATTTACCCATTAGCCAACAGCCAAATCCCTGGAGCGCCTGTGCCGATTCAATGTTGTACATTGATGAAAATTCCAACATTATTTTAGGTGTCATTGAACACAAATAGCAAAATTAAAAAGTGCTGTCGATAAAATTTACTCCTAGGGAATGTTTAAATGAAGCAGGGCGGAATGAGTTTGAACCATAGGCCGCTGTGGGAGGTTTGTCCGCTGCTAAATGAAGCAGCACTGCTCTTCTAGCCATGCTGTCTGTGGAATATTCTGGAAGGACTCTCTGAGCTCTGGCGTTTTCCTTTAACCTTGCTTGACAAGGGCATGGCCCAAATTAAATGATGGGTAAACTGGGTACAAGGAGGTGGCATGGCTTTCTTGGTAATGATCAAGCGTGCTTTTTTCTGAGGGCAGTAACCAGCAAGTCCTTCTCAAGTTATCCAAAACATGAAGTTACAGGCAACACATTAATATTTTCTAACTCTATTTCAAGATATATTTACACTCATTATGCAAATTATGTTCAATTTTCATGTTACCTGCAGTTACATTGTTTATTAATTAAATACAATTGATTTGCATTTGCAAATCTTGTGAAGTTTGCTTTCATATTTGCTGCATTCAGCCAAGCTTTTAACTTTGTTGTTTAATTGTTTGTCCGTCTTTAATGTTACAATATGACAAGAAAAACAAAATTGTGGACCTCATCTCAGCACTCTTAGCTGATTACAAAAAAAAACATAGCTCATGTATATCGGAAAACACAATTAACTCAAAACATCAACCTGTTACAAGTAAAATAAAGCAAAGCTCTTCTCACACCGCGTGCGGCCACTGAAAACGTGTGTGGCGACGAAACTGCTTGAGGGTTGCGTGTTGAGCTCGGGTCTTAAGGGTGCCGTCTAACGAGAGCTCCGTGTCTCACTGGGCAGAGCGGGGCACGGATCAACATCTCCGAGGGCTCGTGTCCCGAGCGAATCGTCACCATCACCGGCCCCACTGACGCCATCTTCAAGGCCTTCGCGATGATCGCAGAGAAGTTTGAAGAAGTACGAAACGTTTCCTCCGCCCTTGCATTTATTCCGCACCCTCCGATTAGCACCGTTAGCTATGTACGTGTGTGAAAGAAGTTCGAAACAACACTCTTCGAAAGGATTTCCATGGGAATTTGAAACTCGTACTTGCTTGCTTTAGCCACCCCCATTGGGTTAGCCTTGATAATTTTAATAGGATCCAAAAGGAATGTTTTTTTATTGCATCGGCATTTTGTTGAATTGTATATTTCCAAGTGCCTGTAAGAATTATTGTCATTTATTTTTTCAAGTATTTCTTTCAACCACAACAGCACTATTGTTTATTGGGTTTACCAAAGCATCGACTGGTAATTTGCACCTTGGTGTTGAACACAAGGCCCCTCATTTAGATGGTGTATGCTTACCAACAATGTCTGGTAACCCATCAGACTTTGTTTAATAAGCCAGACTCTGCTGATAAGATCCAGAAGGTCGAAATCGGTCCCGAGTTTTCGTACTTAAATACATTCTGCTGGATAATATTGGTCTGAAAAGCCAGGAGGCCTATTGACTAAAGCATAATTTTAATAAAACTAGATTTGAAGCTTTCATCACTGCAGGGAATCGTTATTTGGTTCTTTCAGTAAAGTCAAGTAGAAAGAAATTAAATAATAATAGAATACGACGTTTCGATTGTACATTCATTTGTACATGCATTTGTACATTCATTTGTACCTGATGATGGTTGCTTGTGTTGCAATCGAAACGTCGTATGCTATTATTATTTAATTAATTTCTTTCTACGTGACTTTACCAAAAAATCATAATTTTATTATTATGCGAACATGCAGAATGGAGTCGTCCTTATGTTTTCTATTACCGATAAAGCACTGGGTAGTTGAGTAAGATGCCGCCTTCTCGCTGTGCACACCCACACTGGCAGGACATTAACAGCTCCATGACAAACAGCACAGTGACCAGCAAGCCGCCCGTCACCCTGCGTCTCGTGGTGCCAGCCAGCCAGTGCGGCTCGCTCATCGGCAAGGGTGGCTCCAAGATCCGTGAAATCCGAGAGGTGAGGGACTGCTCCGTAACTCGAGGGGGAAACAAAACTCGACCCACAGTTGCTTATCCTCGTTTTTACGTGCCTGCTAACAGTGCGCTTCAGAGATGTGCACCAACATCGGCTAACCAAACGTGCAATTAGTGGCCAAGTGCCAATGGTGGAAATACCACATTTCCATGTCCGAGGCCAGTCTGTCCATCGAAGATCGTTGTTGACTTCGCACAGAGTGGTTGAATTGATTTCCTACAGGAATTTGACCCCAGCAACCTTCCGAAATGTGAGTCATGCACTCTACCCACACCATCATATGATCAAGTTATATAGAGCGTTTGCAATTTAATAAATAAAAAAGCTATGCATTTGTTCATTAAGTATTTATTTGAAAGAAGAGATGGGTCAATACAATGCCTGTTGGGCTTTAATGTCATTAAAATTAGTTTCATACATTTTGAAGAGCGCTTTGTGTAATGTGAAACTGGTTTAAGTGTACGCGGTGTCGTCATCCTCGGGAGTGAATTCACGTTTAAATTGCAGAAGCGGTATCATAATTCTTACTTGCATTTCGCGCAGACAATGTTAGGGAGACTGCGAAAAAAAATCTTTACGAATGGTGACAACGATGACGGTGATTAGAATGTTCTTGGCGTGCTTGACTAACGGCCTTAATTGCGTTCAAGAATATCAGTTAAATTCATGCTGTGGAGAGAAATGCAATAAATGACATTTTTGCCAATGGGCTTTCATCATCTTGGATAAGAGCGACATAATTCGTTTTTCACGCTGGGCCCTGATAAAGGCCTATCGAATTAAATATTGACGACATAGTTTTCTTACAGAGATGTAATATTTTGCATGAAAAAGCTGAGAGGTTAACTAAACAGGATACAAATTTTATGTAAATTCCCTCAAACTTAAGTATGCAAAGGCAAAATGGAATTATCAATTGATATTTGGAGGGAACTTTTTTACGTCGAAGATTGCATCCACTGGATAAAGGTGCCTGTGACAGTTTTCCACAGTTGTATAGACGACTCCCAGGACAATGTGGTATGGGCTACAATTAAGTTGTACCTGCAGAATTCAATCTGTGTTGGACAATGTCTTTAAAGAATCATTAAGCAATGGGCCAAACATTGAAAATAGAACGAGGACTCGGGTGAAACTTTCCTCGATTTACAGTAATTTAAGCTGTCTCGTATTTGCCCCAATATATATTCATTAAAACGAATAAATATTACTTCCGTTCTGCTGGATGAAGGCCTCCCCATGCATTATTTCATCATACTTTGTTATGCTAGTCAGTAATGGTTGGGGTGAAAGTGGAGTGCTTAAGATCGATTTTCCATCTTCTTCCTTCGTGTGGCTGATGTAGATGCAGTGCAACAACTACACTTTCACAATCCAGTGCAGGAGTGTATCGCTGTAATGTCTCCTTTGTATTTCTGGATCGGGCATTGGCTTTGCCGTTGGCCTGATCTACTACATCAATGTGAATGTGTTTTCATTATGTTCGCGAGATACCGATTCGCCATGTCCAGGGGTCTGAATGTCCTCAGGTTTAAGGTGGTGACGTGTCCTAGCGGTAGCACGTTAGTCCCCATTGCAGAAGTTCACGGTTCGAATCCAGCGGCCGCACTGATTCCTCCTGCGTGTGTATTAACTGTGACAATACACAACGTCCACTTGACAGCGGATGTTAAAAGATTCCCTGATATCGCTCGCAAGAATAGGCCATTATGTGTCGGCATCAATTGAAAAATCATCCGCAAATTACTCGATTGGGATTATATGTAGCAATCATCACCCAATACTGGCAGGTCACTTAAAAATTAAACTGTCATGGTCTCGGGGTTGTCGCCTGGTTAAACAAAAGAAACTTGGACATAAACTTGAAGGTTCTAGCAACCACATTACTATTCCATGAAATGAATAGTATACAAATAAATTATTAATTTAACCATAAAAACTTATGAACGTTTATTATTTGACACAGTTGCATTTTCTTACTTATGTATGCTTGTAACTGTGGTGGACTGCTTGAGCTCTACTACATTTTAATTGTCCATCTTATTTCGTCGTGTTGATGTTGATCCTGAGCTGTGTTTCTAGTCGACAGGGGCACAGGTGCAGGTTGCCGGCGACCTGCTGCCAAACTCCACGGAGCGAGCCGTCACAATTTCTGGCACGCCTGAAGCAATCATCCAATGTGTGCGGCAAATCTGTGTGGTCATGCTGGAGGTAATGGCCACGGCAGCGAGTCACCCGCACTCTCGGAATGAAAGGCTGACGTCTGTGGTAGAATTGTAATTTTTATTCTAAGACTTTTAGGACCGATGCTGCAATTGCACTCTTAAGATGATTGAATAATCTGTCTGCGCCGTGCGAGGTTACCCGTGCAATATTTGTGAAGTAATCGCTGTCTGACCGACATGAAGTGAATGAGAAAATTCCCATGACCGTAACAATGTTTAGCCAGGTTCCACTTTAATAATTGTAGTCAATCATTTTTATAGCCATTAAAACATTGGTGAGGTAACTCTGCGAGACGCTTATGTTTATTGTTTTTACGTCCATTTTCCCGTATGAGATCATAAAATGTCCTCACAAGATTGTGTCTTCCCTGCATCTTTTTTTTGTTGCAATAGACAACACCTTCAAAGGACTCCTCACTTGCCCCTTTGTCCTTGTCCTTTCACCCCACTCCCTCTTCCCCAAACCACTGCACCCCACCTCAAACCCCACCACCCCCACTCCCTTTCCCTCCACACCCCATGTTGTTCCTGTGCCACCCTCACCCCTGACCCACCCTGCACACGTACTGCCCTCTTTGCCCTGCTCAGTCCCCACCTAAAGGTGCCACCATCCCGTACCGGCCCAAGCCGGCCGCTTCCGCCCCGGTGATTTTCGCTGGCGGGCAGGTAAGGCCGGATGGCCTCGCTGCTCACGCGGGCAACCCTGCCGTCTTACCGCACCACCCGCCAGCCCTCACAGTTAGTTCCCAATGCCTTCATTTTTTACTCGTTGTTTTTTTGAAATGTCATTGAATTTGTTAAAGCTTTATTATTTGTCTGTTTTTGATATGTGTGTTTTTCAAAAAGTAATGGTCTGCTGCTCGTATAAATTAACGGAAAAAAGTTTAAAATGAAAGAAAATGTGTAAGTAAATGTGTAACGACGGCATAGAGGGTTTTGTAAACTGTTGTATGGAGACAAACAAGTTCACTCCATGTCTACATTTCTACTAAAATTGCAGTAATGTTTTGAGCTAACGGATTACATCACCCTCTCTACCTGTAGACATGTAAGCTAATGAATGTAAAATATTGATCATGTTTCGTTTTTATTGTTGGTCTGTTTTATTTTGAGTAGCAAAGAGTGAATTATTTAAATTGCCAATAAGTTAATTGTTTTAAGCTACGCATGTGCTTGTTTCAAGTAAGACGTTTCGTTTCCAAAAAAATGCTTTAAAATGTCATGGATATGTAAAAGGTGAAAGAAAGTGATTTGTTTTCATGCTCATAAGAAACAGCTAAAATGTGAATGTTTGCCTCATGCACGAGACTTGCCGCTCACGTGCACATGAGAAGTCTGTGCAGATCTGATTCTGTGGTATGGATTACGGCCATATCCATTAGTCTGGTTTTAATGTGGGTGCACTGTTTAATATCATGCGAGGTTTGATACTATAATCTTCTCAGTTTTGGTCTCTGCGTTAATGTTTTCCAGGCGTACACCATTCAGGGACAATATGCCATTCCTCACCCAGATGTGAGTCCTTCCTGATGACATTTCACAGATCATTTGTATCAGCCAGTGGCAGCCACCTGTGACGTATGCATTTGCTGTCCATGCAGCATTTGGTGTTTGATTGAACTGTTTGCAGTTAATTTATTAATTTGTTGCAAGCCAATTGTAATCTATATTTTTGTTATTGATTTAAAAAGTTTTGACCGAATAAGTAAAAGAGAGTATTGTAAGTTTGTCTGGTAGTTATTGTTGTTTGCCGAATTTTACATCCGATGTTACATAGTAGATGCTGAAGCTTAGTTTTTTAGCACAAGGCAATAATCACCAATCTGATATTTTTTTTAAAGACAGTCTTTTATTATACATCACATAAACAGCTGTTGTGATTCAAAGTTTTGTTGGTTTTGTAATTGTTGTATTATTATGACTTTACAAATGTATAAACATGTAAACGTCAGCCCAAGATACTGAAAGGCTGTGCAGGCTTTCTCTTGTTGCATTGTGTTTTTTTTTAAGCGTAATTACGCTTTGCGTCAAGCTCATTGTTTGGTGTTAATAGTACGTGTGGAAGGAAGACGTAACTTATTGGGAGTCTCTTGCTCTCAAGTCTTTTAACAATTTGTCTGAAGTATACAAATGTTCATTCAGGTGTTTCATTGTGGTGATGGTACAGAATGTGAAATGTCTGTGGAGTTGTTTTTTATTACGGTATATCAGTTTATGAATTATGCAAATCGTTTTTTTAATGTGCAAATCACTTCTGTATTTTGAGCTGCACAAAAGAAATGAAATACTTTTTCTTATTGTACTCTTAAAAACATAATTTTCGTTTCGTTTCACATCAGGATTCGTGCTTAGGGATAGATATGTATGGGTGTGCACCATGGCTCTCCAGCATGCAAAAGGCATACGATTCTTTTGGAGCTGCTTCTGCCCATTACATGCATCATACAATGCAAAACCCGGTACATGATTTCATTTTTACTGTTACCAGTACTCCAACCCGCTACCCAGCACTAACTTTTGAAGTACTGCATGGCAATAAACTTCCAAAGCGCTATTTTAGATACAAAAAAACTGTCTAACAGTCATATTAGCCAATGTCCTCTCTCACACCAATACAATTTCATAAAGCAAGTGCTGTACATGTCGGTGTGGTTTCTTGTTTTGTTTACCTTCTACAAAATAATTTTATGGAATGCACAGCAGATGTTGAAAAATCTTAATATCTGCTGTGGTCCAGCTACTGTCTTTACGGTGGTATGTCCTTGTAAGGTACTGCTGGGTAATATCACTTTTAGACAGTTTAACGTTGAGTTGTTGTGTCCTAGTCCAGTTTTATTTCTCCAACCTTTGCTACATATTGACATCCCCAAATCATTGATTCCAACCTATCGATACTACAACCTAATTCAACCTCCCTTTTCCTCCCCACCGTGATAACACCGTTAATCCTTTTTTTTAATTCCAGTTTGCACTGTTTCTGTAATCTTCTTCCGTTTGATTTGTTAGCTCTAATCTCCCCCTCCCCGACCCATCTCTCCCTCCCTCTTTCACTCCGTGTCCCCCTCCTCTGCACTCCCCTGCCTCCCAACATCCTTCACCCGACACCCCTCCCCTCACCTGACCCTACCCTGCCCTGCACTGTGCTCCCACCACCCACCCCCATCCTGCCCTCACACAACCCTGCACCCCACACCCGACACTCCACCCTGTCCCTCCCTGCAGTTGACCAAGCTCCATCAGCTGGCTATGCAGCATAC